GACCCCCCCCCCCAGATCTGTGCATGCGATGGGGGAGAGGTGGGTGTGCACTGCCTGCTGTGGACTTGGGCTCCTCAGCCTGCTGCCCTCCCCTGGGGCCTCCCTCAGCCAGGTGGGTGTGACACAGCCAGGTGGATGTGACCCAGCATGGCAGAGCAGGGCCGCCCAGGAAAGCTGCTTGCTGCTGTGAGCTCTGTGCTGTCTTGGCAATGCATCCCCTGTGCATGCAAGGGAAGCGGCACAGGGTTGTGCCCCTCACTACTATGTGCAGAGGATGCCTCGTCAGGGCAGTGCAAAGCTTGCAGCGGCAAGAAGCTTTCCTGCAGCAGGGAGGGTGCCAGGCTCTGCTCTGCTGTAGCAGCTGCCGACACCTCCTGCTGGGGGCAGGGTGCTGTGGACCCGGGTCCCATGCCCCATAGCTCTGGCAGCTGGGGGCCTCTCCTGCAGGGCTGGGGGGCAGGGGCTGTGGGTGGGGAAGTAAAGGGTACCAGCAGGGCTGTGGGACTGTGGGAGGGGAAGTGGGGCTGCGGGAGGCTTTTCAATTTAATCACAGATTTTGGGGGTTTTGTCAGAGAATTTGCAATTATTTATCAGGGAAAACCAGGATCCCTGGTGATCAGAAACCAGTTCAGATCAATTTGGATGGATGTAGTATCAGACTTAACTAATTTAGATTAAATTGGTTTATTAAACTTCTGTCCTGGATCCTTTTTAGGTTCAAGTTAGAATCACAGCCCCCCAGCATCCCAGGATGCTTTGCCTCCCCCGCAGACCCTCCCCTCTCAGGGTGGACAGGTTAGCCTTTGCCCAAGTTGTCTGCTTCAGCTGAGCAGGGAGGCATGCTCTAGCATCCCCAGGCTGCTGCCATGTGGCTGCATTTCCAGAATCAAAATCAATGTCTGTTCCATTGCTAATCAATTCAATCTGTGCAGCTTAGACTAACCTGCAAAGACTGAACTGACAGATTCAGCTTCAGGCTTTTTGACTGTCTGTACTTAGACCAATTTTTAAAAATTAAAATGAAACTAAACCCTGTCAAAAATAAAACAGAGAGGGCTAGTAGTCTTGGAGTGATGTTGTAGCCATGATGGTCTAGGAAATATAAGAAAACTGTTTTGCGTGCCCCCCCCCACACACACACCCACTCTCCTTCATTGGAAGACTAATATAATTCTCACTATGTAAATGATGAGTGAGGCTGTCTGCAATAAGTAAAATTAATTCCCTTCCTATTTCTTTAAGTGAAATATTTGCAAGTGATGGAAACATGCTCTCTAGGCTCACAACAATTTGCCTGTATCATGCATCATTTGTTGATTAGACTGTTGGTGTTGTCTGTTCCTCAGGCCTTTGAGTGTGTTGACAAACAGTTTTCTTTCCAAACATACCAGATTTGTGTATACGTGCATCAGTTAGAAATTACAAGATACATAATTCAGTGATATACTGAAAAAAAACTACCCTTGCAATAAACATTTAGCCTTTCGAGCAGCTTCAGATTTCCAAGTGTCCTTTGATGCCTGTATGCCTTTGAGAGTGTGAGTGGCCCGAGAAAGTCAGCAAGAACCGTTTTCTGATCCACAGCCCAGAGTTCACATATTTATCTGGGTCTGCAGCCATCTATTAATAGAACATACCGCATTTCCTTCACATAAAATACGAAGAGCACTTTGCTGAGAAAAAACCTGCTGCGCCTTTCTGTCTTTGGGACCAGCTCATCACCCAGCTAAAATTAAAAAGTGAAGTCAGGCAGTTCTTGCACTCTATTTTTAAACTGCTTTAGTATATGCATGTGAGTGTGAAATCTTTCTTTAGGACTCTACTAACTTAATTATCCACTTATTCAAAACATTCCCTCATCAGATTACAGAACTATAACTGCATTACTGTATCCTGTGGGTTCTCTAGAAAAGAACAGGATTTTCTGTAGCTGTATGTTGTTTGTCTGATTGGTTTTTATGCCCAGATACTAGTTACATAATCATGTTTTAGTCCTAATTAGAGGCATCACAGAAGGTCATTAAAGATGTCTCTCAAGCAATTCTGGTGAATAGAAATAGAAGAGATTAGCTGTTCAATTTCTCATCAGCTACGAGGCATTACAACTACAGTTGTAACATTTTCCCAAACACGCTTTTTTAAATAAAAATTGCAATTAGTTTTGAGAGAACTTCATTTGAGACCAGTAATTGACATTGGAAGTGAAATTTTTGTTTGGATTTAAATGGACTTTTTTGAGCAACTCCAAAAATTGATTTTCTACATTTGTGGAGTTTTGTTTTTCTCCTTTCTCAATTATTCGTTGGTTTCTTAAAAGGAATAGAACAAAATATGTTTAAGATTAATTTTCTTTCCTGCTGCTTTTTTCAGCTCTAAAACTCTTCAAAACAAAAGCTTTGTATGGGTTACAAGTGAAAGGAATAATCAAATACTAACTTTACTATTCTGACATTTAAAAAATGCTGTTAACTTCAGAAAAATTGAAGAGTGGCAAAGTTAGTGTCATTTTTCTGGGGATGGTAGTTTGTCCGAATTTGCAGATGTTTTGAAAAAGGGAATAGAAAAGAGGGAAAAAATGGGGAAACCCAGATAATCAAATTGTCTGTTTTGGATATTTATTTCAATTGATGCTACACAAAATATAGGAAAATTAATACTCAAAATTGTGTTTTCTAAGAAATTAAAAATGAAAATTTCAAATGTAAAACTGAAAATTTGTGTCCAATTTGAAAAAAAATCAAGCAATATTTTTTCTTGCAAAAAAATTAGAAAATATTTCCAAAATAATTTAGAAAACTTTTCATGTGCAGCATTGCAAGTCGCTCTGTTTAGACTTATTATCAGTCTGCTGTCTTTAAATATGGGTATTTTTGGCCCTAGCTGCCATCAAAATGAATAGGAAACCCTCTGAGTTTACATAGAGCAAAATGATTTCTCCCCATATTCTTAGTAGGTGTGTTACCTAGTTTTACAGTGCAGTATGTGATGTAATATCCAGTCTGTTCCAACAGCTATTGAATAAGCTTGAATCTTGAATCCTGTTCATAGTGGACATCTTTCCTCCTTTAAATCTCTTCTCTGCACAATGCTTATAAGACACTATCCAGTTAACAGGGTGGATTTCATTTACATCAAATAGATTTAAAATCATGATTTAAATTACAATTTAAATCACTGGTAAGGAAGCCACAATTTAAATTATTGTTTTCTACTAAAAGTGCATTCTTGTGGTTTAATATCCTTTACTCTTTTAACTTCTTCAAACTTTGTACTTTTAGAGAAAGGTAAGGGCTTGACTGTGTGTACGCATACTTGCAGAGAGACAAGAGGGCTGAGGGGTAGGTAATCAGGTCTGTTCTCTCATCTCCATATACTGCTGTTACAAGGATGTTATCTCTGGAGACCCAGGTCCACAGTTTGAGAACTGAAATTAAGCATTACACCAATGCTTAATGGGATTTTCTAGACTGAGCACTAAGTCCCATTGGGTAGAGTGGATTTCTTTAATCTTTACTAATCTATAGTGGAGCCTCTGGGAGCTCCATAAGATCGGGCCCCTAATATAGTCTGTGGCCTATTGTGACCTATTTATAAAACTTTTCTAAAAAAGCTGCATGAATATATTGTCTCAAATAGTATATAATTAGAAGTTATAATCCCTATTCCATGAAGATATCTTTGATCTTTAATGTATCTTAACTTATAACTATTTACATAGGTTTATTTTAAAAAAATCTTTAAAAAAATACAATTAAAAAATCTGATTAAAAAATCTGATTTAAAAAAAAAAATCATTGATTTTTATCTATCCTGCCAGTTCATGATAGCTTGAGAACTAGCCTGGTGGTTGATTAATTGCACCTCTGTAGAATCTGTACATACTAATTTACTATCACCCACTTTCATCTGCATGTCTTTCAGCTCCTTGGACACTTTTTGGCGCATGGACTGTGCCAGGGTGGGCAAAATGCAGCCCGTGGACTGGATGCAGCCCACCAGGCCATTCTATCCGGCCCGCAGGGCCCCTAAAATATTTAGAAAATTAATATTTATCTTTCCTTGGCTGCCTATCATGCGGCCCTCGATAGCTTGTTAAAACTCAGTAAGTGGCCCTCCACCTGAAATAATTGCCCGTCCCTGGACTATACTTTGTATTCAGATAGAATCTAGTACATTGAGACTAAAATACTGATTTTAGGAACCCTTGTATTTTGATTATGTATGGGATGGTATCATACTTTATTGCATACAATATGTCATGGAATATAATATGCACTTTGTTACTGAAAGAATGAAGAAGAATGATTTTTCCAGAGTTATGGCTGCATAGAGCAGGAACAGAGGTCTGATCTTCAGCTAACTCACCCTCCCATTTCTTGCTTAACTAAAGCTGAAAAACCAGCTGTTTTTGAAGACTGGTCTCCATAAGTGAGTCTATGATTTTGAAAAGTGCAAAAGACTTTCCAGGACTGTGAAATAGGAGACAAGATGAGGAACAGCTAGTAGATGGCAAGATTATCCTAGGAAAGGTTACCTTGATTCACGGAACGTCAAGATAATTAAAAAGGAGATACCATCTTTAATACCCGTTGAGTGAAGAAGCATGAGCTATGGATAGTAATACTGCAGCTGCTGCAGTGTGGAGCAGGACTCAAAGCGGGGTGCTTCTATCCCAGGCAGAAAATCAGTTTCCCCCTTTAATACACACACCTCAATTTTGGGTGGTTGATAGGGGGTGGGCTGAGGAAGTATATGTTATATGGGACGAAATATGATGATAAACTGTAAAGTGACAAGGAAACTCTTGTTTGCCCATATATGTCATATATTTTATTTATATTCATCTAATGTCTGTGAGTGCTGGCTGAGATATTGATAGTCTTAGTTAAGAATCTTTTCTTTAGATCTGTTTGCCCACTGCTGATGTTCAGGTAGTTGCAAGGCACTCTGGGTGATTTTGCTTTAATGCTATTCTGATGTGGTGCAGAAAAGTAGGTTTTGAAGGTTGTTTCCCATTGTATCTCAGTGCTCCTGGAAGGTGTGTTAGTAGGGATGAATAGGCTTACGTTTGAGCTAAGAGTAATTGGGTCCTGAGAGCATTTTCTTTTGGGCTGGAAGTGCTGAATGTTGGTGATGCAGGTTCTCCTATATCTCTTTGGAAATATAGGTGTAATAACAGCTGTTGCTTTCCTATCACCTATTCATCCTGTACTGCTTGATTCTGTGCTTTCCCTTTTTCTGGCTTGAAATGGTAAATCTCTCAGCACAAAGATATGCGTGGCACATTTGCATCTTGTCACAGAATGTATGCACTTTTCCCACAAACAGCTTCATTCTTTCATGAATAAAAGTTTCATTTTCAGACTTAAATCTGAACAATGAGATGACTTGAGCGGCAGGTTTTTTCACCCTGTTATTTATGCCCACCAGCTTTCCAACTGCTGGCTGTGGTCCAGACTAATTAAATATTACTTTGCTGGATTATTAACAAAATGCTACTTGACAGTGAATGGAATGAGCTTTCCTTCGTAACATACACATTGTAAAAGAACGTGAGTTTTGAGAGTTTTCCATCTTGATTTCACCATGAAACACAGGCCCTTTGTGACCATGGAAGCAGTGGAACGTGGATATTACATGCATCTGAGAGCTCCCCAGTTCTCTACTTCCATCCATCAGAAGACCACATGATTCATGTTTTTCAGCAACAGTTGGTAAGAGGAGCAGCAGCGTGACCCAGCACCCCAAGACGTGTTAAGCCTGAGTTAGGCAGCTCAGTAGTGGACTGAAGTGATAGCCTTAAATCATGCTCCCCCTGGAGAATTTGCTCACTACAAATATGGTCTTTTGTAACTTGTTCTGTGTAAGATAGAGAGAACTCTTACATTTTCATTAACAGGAGAGATGCAGTCAAAATACGAATGCTAAATTACAACGTAAAACTTAGGCAGCTATACATTTACTAACACAATTCTACTCGGCTAATAAGGATAAGTTGATTATTTTTATCAGTTGCCTTTTAAAATTAAGCGGTTGATGCTCACAGTATATATAACCAATAGCTTGTGTTAGTGTGTCCAGTTCATTCAGCAAGTGGAAAGCGAATGGTGTGATTATAGTGAAGAGAATAATGGGCGTTTATAAACAATTAATTAAATTAATTTATTTAGCCAGCTAAATGAAGTGTTTTGTGGTTACCACCATCTGTTTTAAATACCTTACTGGCTTTAGCTTGCAGTACAAAAGATGCTTTAAATTCTCTAATGTCACTTTTGAGAGAGAATTGGATTAAATTACCAGAGAGCTAGAAACCATAGCTTCCTTTTAACAGCTTGAAAATTTTACGCATTTATTCAAATGCCGTACATTTTTACATGCACAGATTCATTACCCAAATTAAATGATTAAATGATAAAAATCCTTCTGACCTTTTCTTCATTCTGTTGGCAGTGAAGGTATGCAAGTATTATAAAACACTGGTGTTTTACACTTCCCTTCGAAGTCAAAGCTGTACGATGTACTTAATTTGTTACTTTTGGAACTAGGAATTTTAGCCTGTACAATCTGTTTGGAACTTAATATTGGCCATGGGTCTATGAATTCTGTCTCTCAGTAACAGTCTCCCTGGTGTAGAGCTTAGGCAAATTGCGGTTAAGAAACACTACAGCTGTCTTCAAGAAGAGGTGAAGAGGGGCAGCTGGATTTAGACAAAGTGCTGAAGTCAGGAGACCTTCATTCTGTTTTTGGAGATGACAACATTTCCCTACTTTTTTAAAGCACTTTGAGAGTACAGGCTAACATTGAACATATGGAAGCTAACACTGGGAGTTTCCCCTGGGTTGGTAGAAATTCACATTATAGCATGATGTGTAAATGCCATTCTCTGCTCCCAAAAATGGTGCCGCACCACATTTTATTTCAGTCACAGTAATGTAGCTCAGAATAATTTACATTATTCAATTTGTGTAATCAAAATGGGGCCTATGCCATTTCCCCATGGGGTTAATAGTTTTGCTCACTTCCATTCATTTGCACTGGGATTTTGTCAGAGATTAACTTTTTCAAGATACGTTTGCTGTGGTCCCAGTGGCTGATTTAAACATCTGAGCTGTGTGATTATTTTTCTTGAAAAAATAATGTGAGACTTCAAATGGATCTCACTAAGGGATGGAGATCTTAGCATTAATTTCAAAATGTAATTATTAAAATTGAGTTTGGTTCAATACAAAAATGCAAAAAAAAGAAACGGTAAAAGAAAAAAATTACACACTTTCCAAATCTGTAAAATTGTATCAATAAGCAGCAACTACACCCATTTAAGTTGGTGGAAGGTTCCTATTACATTAATTAAAGTATAGTCTTTTAGAGATTTGAAGTTTGAATTGACATTGGCCTCGCACCCTAGAAAAATACATACCTTTTCTTTCTGGACAGAAGTGATCAAACCACATGTAATCTTAAACTGACCTTATTTTATTAACAACCTATTTTTTAGGAAAAGTGACACCTATTACTATGTAACAGAATAAAATAACCAGTTGTACAACTTGTTAATTATTAGCATTTGTAAAAATAATATACTGTAGATGTTTCAATATAGCAAGACTGGATTGTGTTAAGTATGGTTTAAACAGGGACTATAGATTCTTACCCATTACCTAGATTAGCTTTTGAGACTCCTTTGTTCCTATGGGTTCTTTACCTGCTGCCTCTTCCAGCACTGTCCCTCTCCCATTTTTTACCTTTGTACTCAAATCAACATCTCCATTTTATACACTGGTCTGTGCATGTCCTTTTACAGCGTCTGATAAAGCGAGCTCCAGTTCATGAAAGCTTATGCTAAAATAGACAGGCTCGTATAGATGTGCAGAGAGTCAGCTCCAATGCACTGTAAGTCCAGTGCATCAGAGCAGACTCAAGTCTGCTGGAGCATGGAACTTGGCACGGTCCAGCAGCCTCCAGCATCACGTGTATCAGTGTCCCGTCACTGAGACAGGACGATAGGGTGCTTTGAACTAAAGCTGGTTTTTGCCGCCATTTTTCAGCAGGGGGGTGCTGATATATTTGACACTTGCACACTTTCAATTAGGATGGCACTGTAGTTAAGACACCCTCCTCCCCTGCCTCCCAGAGCATGTCTATAAATGCCCTTAGTCTATAAGGTTCAAAATACCCTCCCTTCTGCTTAACTTCAGACCAGCACAGCTACCTAGGCCTCTCAGTATAGGAAGAACCAGTGATGAAAGAACCAAAGATAATGAGTGACAGCTCTGTGAAATATAGCATTAGTTAAATTATGCAGTGTCAATGAAATAAAGAGTACCGTACTAGTATTATGTTAATAAATGGAAGATGTATAGCCATTTTAATTTAATCAACATAGGTTATTTCAGAAAAAGCATTTGCATTATTTAAGTATTATTATTCACAAATGTTCCACACTGATATGACTGTTCCTTTGTTTTCAAAATAATTAAAATGGTGATATCCTTCCAAATACCCTGCATTGATTTAAAAAGGGGTTTGTGTTAGGTTAGGAATTCTTTTACTACCTTTGGGTGATCTTTGGTTCAAAGCATGAGGTTTAAGGTGTCAAGTAATAAAATTAATGTGCTCTTTCTATGTGCTTCCCAGATCCTATCTCATGCTTTGGCTGCCCTGTCAGTTTGGAGCTGAGATTATAGCAAGTGCTTTGGACAGTTAGATGAGTGTGCTGATGAGTGATTTATTTATTTATTTAAAGCAATGTGGATGTATGACATCCTTGGCATCAGTTATAGGTTATTTGGTTTGTGCACTGAATTGTGCTGCAAGGTTAAATTTAATGAACTTTCATTACATTTATTAAAAAAATTAGCGAAACTTTTTGGTTAGTAATCGTAGGAGCGGCATTATTAACACTAACATTTTAAACCAATATGTCATAGAACACATAGGCTAAGTCCAGACAGTCCAAAAGCCTGAGACTGAGTTGATTCAGTCTTTGTGGATTTCTTTAAGTGGCATAGATTGAATCGATAATGAACAGAACGGACGTTTACTTTTGAGTTGGGAAAGGCAGGCGAAAGCCTGCACTGGCTCAGATCAAAAGACACGGGGTGCTAGAGTTTGCCTTCTAGCTTGCCGGCCATTGCTGGGCCATCCCCGGCTTACTAGCTGTCACACACTCTCAGCCCCCTGCTGTACCCCTGCAGCAGAGAAATCGTCCCTCATCCCAGCCGGCCCTGAGCTTGGGTGTCTGCCTACATGGGGGGAGCCCCAGGCCTCTGGAGGGTTTCCCCTGGCCAGCCTGAGATCTCCCTGAGCTGTGATCTGCCCAGCTGTGGAGGGGGGAAAGGTGAGAGTAATTTCAGCCTCTGCTTCCCACTGCCATGCCAGGCCAGTACAAGTCACTGATGCACAGCAGGAAGGGAGAAAAGAGTCCCTGCTCCTAGGGCTAGCGGCCGAGTCCTGGTCAGCCCAGCTGCAGGGGGCAGGTGCTTCCCTCTCTGCGTACTGTTTTTTGTGGGTTTGTGTATTTAACACGGGTCCAGTTCTTTACTTTTATGTTTTCCCCTACTGTGCTTATAGGTAAACCAGCCTTTGGCCTTCGGCATTTGAGTCAAAACTTCAAGTGGCAAGTAGTAGGTGAACCAGCCAATTTTTTTCCAGTAAATAGTAAATCCACAAAAAAATGCAGTTTTAGCCAGGGAGGAGTAGGGAGAGAAATCAAAATTGTTCACACATTTCAGTCATCTCATCCAAACTTTCATTATGGAGCAGAAACAAAGAGCCTGGACTCTGCCTTGGAAAGCTGGCAATTTGGTAGGTGAAGAGGACTTTACAAATCAGCACTATTAGCTGCTGGGTTGCCTGCTACTGTATTTTTCATTAGCAGAATCTGGGGTATTTGATTCAGTTCACTCAGCCTTAAGCGTAGCTCCAATTAATTGTAGTTACAGTTGAAGTTGTAATATTCACAGTATGTTCCCTGCCATATTGTCTTACCCAGTCAGTAACTTAGATCGTCATCTCTTTGGGAGGGAAAAACCCCTACTTCTGAGTGTGCTGTAATGAAGTAACAATATTGTAGATACCATAACAAGATATGGCCAACGTGGGGAAACTTCCAGTTGCCTTGCTAGTCATGGAAAAATTTTGTACCCCAACACCTAATTTATGTCCACATTGATGAATTAACTGATTCAATATTAAAAAGAGGCTTACATTAAAACATAGTCTGACTTGCAAGTAGGCTGGAAATTAAATTTCAGATTTTTGAAAATATATTTATTCAAAGCGATATCCTGCTTAGTAAGGCAGTCACACATGATACAAATCACTCTTCAGGCATTCATGATGGAGCTCAAATTGGTTATGTTGTTAGTCAGAAGAGATTCAGGCAACTTCAAAGTATTTGTGGTTTTCTGACAACATGTTCCAGATGGCGGGATATGAGGTAATTTATATGGTATCATACACTTTGCTACTGTGCATGCAGTCTTATCCAGCACATAACCACAAGCCTTGTAGAAACTCGTTGGGATAATACAACTATCTTTGAAACATTCTTTATTATGTTATGAAAACTACAGATTAACAAGTCACTGGTTGGTGAATGCAAGAAGATTGATTACTAC